GTCCAAGCAAACGAATTCTAGTAAATGAATTAGCTCAATAACACAACTCGACTCACCATCCCTTAACCCTCTACAAAACCCAAAGTCCCAGTTTAAAGATAAGGGGTTTAACGGGCTCGAGAGAAAAGTTGCAATTGGCTCATGTTTGTGAAGGGAAAAGGAATAGAGCAAGGGGAAACAATCTTTGAGGGGTTGAGTACCCACCCAAATAACCTCCAAGAACATAATAGCATTACCAGAACAAGCATCATACCTGATGAATCTGAGGAAGCGAGGGAGAATACCATGTATAGGCTTCTAAGGTGTAGTAAGGGTAGCCCGGCGAGATACCCCAGAATCCCAACCATTTCCTACAACCTCATGCCATAATCTCTCTCTCTCTCTCTCGGGGCCATCTCCATAGCCACTTCCCTAGAAGGGCTACATTCTTCAGCACTATGTTCCCTATCCCTAAAATCATGATTGTATATTTTGCTTTTGACAGACACAGTATATTACCTTACATATTCAAATAATAATAATAATAATAATAATAAAAGAACTCTAATAGTTAATATTGACCCATTTAGATGATCACAAGTGAAGCACCTCTAGTGAATATTCCATAACATATTCCAAATTAGGTGGCAAAATAGCCAAAGCATTGACTAACAAAGTAGGTTTTAAGGACCCTCATGCCTAACTAGACCAGCAATGAAGTGATGCAACCTATATAGCAACTTGGGCATGATTAGGATAGAACTAGGACTGCATCAGTAGCAACAGCTTTGTTCATATGTTTTTTGTTGTTTTGTTTGGCTTCAAAAGATATTTCATAGATTGGACAGTTATGTATTTGTTTGTTATGAATATAAGCTCATTTTAGTTGAAGATAATTGACATAGACAGCAAAAAAGAAAGCAAGAGATACAATGTCAGATTTGCATTACTTTTTATAGCAATTTTTATGTACAATTTATAGTTATTCCCTTATTTTTATAAGCAGTTATTCCTATAACTTGTTTCCATAAACAGTAATTCCCATAATTATTATTTACAATAAAATCATGATTTATTATTATAGTAGTCTCCGGTTTCTCTATATTAGGTTAGGAAGTGGTTTTTATTTCCTTTAAAGAGTTTGTGGAAAATTAGAAGTTTCTTCGGTGTTAGTCAACTAGTTTAAGAAACCATTTTAGTTGTTGAGTATTTTGGTATTTTAAGGAGAAAAAAGAAAAAACTAAGCATGGCCTACCCTAAGGATTTATAAATATATTGTAAGGCTTAAATTAAGAGATCCAATGAGTTTGGAAAATGCATATGAGGAAATGGGCTCATCCCTTCGATGTATCATAGTAATGCAACTCATAGATCAAAGCATGCCCTGCAGCTTGGAAGTAGGCCAAGATCAGCACATATATGACTAATTCTTGTGTTCTAATGCTTTCTGGGAAGAGAATATGGAGCTCAATAACAACAAAGACCATTCGTCCGGGTAAAAAAATGTTTGGGCAATGGAAGCAGAATCTTGCATTCCCCAAGGCATGGTCTTCCAAGCAAGCTGGGCATCTTTTTGTAAGAGCTCCATAGCAAGGACATCACTTGCCTGTCAAGTTTCAACATGACCTAATGTAAGTTTCTATAGAAAAAAGAGTAAAAGTAAAAAAGAGCCACTAATATACCAAGAATAGGGTGTCAACAGATCATTGCTCCCTACCCAACCCATCCATATATAGTATATCTATACTCTCAAAAAAGCCTAATACAGGTTGGGCCCAGCATGAGTTTACCTCAACATGAAACCCGATTAAGACTAATCCGACCTATATTTGGGATCAGTGCGGGTTTACCAGTTAACCCAACCCACTGACATCCCAGCAGCCTGGGAAATGGCAAGACTGCAAAAAAAATAAAGAAAGAAAAAGAAAAACCTTGCTGTTAAATGTGACTATTAGTTTTCTCATAGCCACGAAACCAAAAATTTAACATCAATGGTTAACACATACATTAGAGGCCATAAGGCCATGGAAATCACATATGATCCAAGACAACCACTTCCTAGTTCAGCTGCAACACAGAAGGTGCCCAATACTTATTTCACATCTGGAGCAACCTGAAAAAATCAAAAAGTAGGTAGCAAATTCACTACTGATATCCAAGTTTCCAACTCCATATTATAGAAAATATTCTTTATGTACAGTTCCAGGCAGGAGATCTCACTATCAGTCTATCCTATTCTTCAATAAAGTTCTTCAACTTAATCAGCATACTATAAGATGAAAACTCCAAAACTACTTTCTTCGTAAACAAACTAGTAGACAATGAAAACTAAAGGATCGAGAAAAACCAGAAGTACAGTGCTAGATAATTGAAGGAAATGAGGGAGTCTATTTTTTGATAATAACCATCGAGGATAGCTTTAGAGTGGATAAGTCTATTTGGTCTAAATTTCCCTTTCTACTCTCAAATAATGAAAAACTGCGAACAACGTGAGGAGTGAGAATTAGCAACTAAGAAGTTGGTCATGTACAAAAATCAGCCATTAAAGATAGGATTTTGGGACAAGACTACTGCAACAGGATTGGCACACGAGCGATAGGATTTTGGGACCAACCTGAGACACTGGATGGCATGTTTCAGCCGCTGCAATAGGGTTTTGGGACTGACCCACTGCAAGAAAAAATAAAAATGTGATAGTGTCAAAAGAAGAAGAAGAACGTACCTGGTGCGTGAGGTTTCCTCTTCTTCGTTTGCTTAGAGCTCCGGGCTCCCCCCTAATTTCTTGGAATGTGTGGTATTGGCACACGAGCGATAAATAGCGGACCAAAATACGAGAAGTTTGACTTCTTTTTGTTTTTCTTTTTCGAAAATGTCTAAAACTCAAGATGAGTTTTAATATAAATTGTAAACAAAATAAAAAATTATTTTTAAATTATATAAATTATACTAATCGAAAAAAAAATCAAAAAATAAAAATTGTAAAGAAATCAAAAAATATAGAAAAATACAAAAATTATAAATAAATAACAAAAAAATACAGAAAATTTTATAGATTGTAAAAAATAGAAAATATAAAAAAAAATTATAAAAAACATCGGAAATTATAATATAACACTACAAATGCAAAAAAAAAACAAGAAAATTGAAAACTGAAAATGACCATTTTTCCTCTAACTCACTATTCAATGATAATTTGGTCATAAAAATTGTTATTTATGCTGACATGGACACCTCTATTAAGAAGCATTAAGGATGCACTAACGGAATGTGAGTTTTAAAAAATAAAAACTTAATGATATGATGAGTTTTAGACATTTTGAAAATTTGTAGTGAGTTGGAAAGGTTGAAAACTCATGATGAGTTTTACACAACTTCCTTCTTTTTTAATGAATTGTGGGCTGCAATGGTATAGATAGCGGAAACTTGAAATCGGCAAGGATGGGAGCTATGGAAATAAGATAGAGCTTATCTTCTTCCCTCGATAAAGATCTTCCAGAGTTGTATTTGCAAATCAGGCATTACTGCTTTCAGGGTTCTCAAATGAGAATCTTTGTTCTCCAAAGGAAAATCAGGGTTTCAGAAGCTGGTAAATCGTAAAAGCCCCAGCAAAGAGAGTTTTTCACTCGTCAGGCTCGGGAGATAGCTTCACTTCAAGTTTCTAATTTTGAGCTTCTAAAACCCACGTCCTCTAGGAGAAAAGATTTGCCAAATGCGGCCCAAATATTTTTAAAGCTGTAAAGCAAATCCAACCCAACCAAATACAGTTGGCCCCATTTGGCACGTTTTTCCGCGTGGTCTCTTGGTTATTTACAACTTTGGCAGATCCGGTCTCTTCCTATTTGGTTTGTGGTAGATTTGGCCGTCAAAATCCAACAACCAAAAATATGCAAAAAGACTAAAACGGGTGATTTTCGAAAAATTCATAAAATTTTTGTTTTTTCTATTTATTTTTGTGCAAAAAGATACATATTAACCTAACAAACTTTAAGTTGTTCAGATCTTAATGCAAAAGCTCAATGCATCTTTTAATTGTCAAAGCTATCAGAAAATTTTCCCAAAACCAAACAGACTTGCCAAACGGCTCCAAGTCTTTTAATGGTATGGACTTGATCGTATCTAATATTACCGTGCTGGCATGCTCCATATCCATATTTAGTATAAGGCAAATATTCATATTTAGCATGACCTTTCAAGGCAAATCCAAGCTAATCTCATGATTTAAGATCGCTCAAAAGTCATAACCATGGTTTTCAAAAACAGACCGGATTGGGCGGTTGGACCGGAAAAAACAATAACCGGTCAGCCCCCCGGGTCCAGTTATACTAAAAATCGAAAATTTTTAAAAACTGTTGAAAAGGTAAAAAAACAGCAAGTTTACAATATTTATAGTTGCAGCAGCCAGCACTTGCAGGCAGTAGTAAGAGTTGTGGCGGCCAGCACTTGCAGGCAATAGTAAGAGTTGTGGCAGCCAACACTTGCAGCGGCAGATGGCAAGCTTGCAGTGGCTGTCCAGCAAGTTTGCAACAGTGGGAGGGGAGTTTGCATTAGCAGTAACACCACTATTGGGCATTAGCAATTCTGCAAGTTGGAGCAGCACTTGCAGTGGCAACTTGCATGCGACCAAGCCCGATCCCACCGGCGACAAGCCTATTGTCACACCACTATTTAACATTCTAGAGTGAATGCTCATATTTTTTCCCTTTTACTTTGGTGCCAGGGGAATCTATCCCTGTGAATTTTGATTTTAGGTCAAGGTTTTTTGCATTTTAGGATTTAACATTCTAGTCTAAAGATGGAACTCCAAATGCAGGGAGAAATGGTGTATTGTTTTTGGTGGTATTCTGTTATAATTTTTTTTCTTTCTCTTTTGATATTCTGATTTCTCTAGTGAGTAAAAGGCTTCGATGATGATGATGATTGGGTTAGTTCTTGATTCAATTTCAGCGTAGATGATCTCAGCATGGAAGAGCTCCTTGCCTTACAAATCCCAACCTCTCAACTTCCCTGCTCCCAAGAGGTGAACTCATTCCTATTTTTATCAGCATCTCGAGATGACTTTGTTTACAATGATTCATGCATCCACACTTTCTAGAGATTTTTTCTATATTTTTGCAATTTTCTGTTTCTTTTTTCTTTATTTTTTCTGAATTATTTAGAATTTATCTGTATTTTATTTTTATATTTTTTATGTATTTTATACTGTAATATTTTTTATTTAAATAGTTGTATTTTCTGTTTTTTATTTAATTTTATGCTATTTTTTATTATTTATAAATATTTTTTTATTTTTAATTTATTTATGCCATTATAAATTAAACCATTTGACCCGAACAGTTAAACCGCTTAACCAGATACCGGTTCTGTTTCCAGTTCGTTTTTAAAAACTATGGTCATCACTGGTATTAGGTATGGATCCCACTAATTCTGCGTTTTTTCCTAAGCTCCGATCTGAATTTGAAAATAGATCAAACACGTATCTACTGAAATTATCCCATTCGGATTTGCTAGGTTTTAATTGTCCAATATATTAATAAATATTAATCCGACGAATAAGATCATATACGTATCTACTGAAATTATCCCCTGTAGCACTTCACATCCAACCCATTAAATGGTGACAACTAGTAATTTGGTTCTTGAAAATGCAACACGTGTCAAGTTAAAGCTCATACATATACGAGTTGAAAACATTTCATCCCCTTACATGTTATGCTGCATGGGAACATATTTCCAGACGTACGTAAAATTGTGACTAGGAGATCCGGAATCATACAAATCTCATGTCACCAGTCCCACCGACTTCACACGCAGATTTTATTGGGAACATCTTCTCTGCTTATAAGTTATTGTTTATAGGAAATATTTCCAATGCACGATAGATGTGCGTGTGAGACGCCCTATATGAGGAGCAGATCCCGTTTCCCCAATAATCAATTAGAGAAATGCTAAATCCCTATCGATTCCCATTTGTAATGACCTCGATCCATGTGCAACCGAATCTACTTCAAATCTTTATCCTTCAACAAAGATACAAACGGATCAGATATTTGAATCTGATATGAAAACACAATATATCTATCGACATGACAAACCTGTACCCACACCATTCTAACAGCATTTTTACAACTTTGTATTAAGAATATCTCTTCATAAAATAAAATATATAAATACGGAAAGATTCACTTTGCAGTAAAGGCTACTTGAACGACAGCACAGCAGTGAAGGAACTTTGCCCTGACTGAAGCCCAACTCATACATATCCAAATCATATCTCATATCTCATAAGTATAAATTACAAATTTGAATTCAAATTTGATAAATATTTTTTAACTATTTTTATCAATAATATATATACTTTTTTATAAAAAATAAATAATATAAAATAATCATAAAAGTCAATATAAATAATATATATATATATATATTAATTAAATTCATTTAAAAATCCAAAACAGAGATATCCAAATCCAACAAACAATGATCAGATTCGATCCATTTGTACCCTATCCTTCATTTGGTCTACAACACCACGAATCAAATTTGCTCTTTTATGATCAGATCCATTTGCACCTTATCCATCAATTGGTCTCCAACACGAATCCGAATTTGCTCTTTTAAATCACTCTTCACACAATCAGTGATTTCAGCCGTGCATTAAAAACATTTTCCATATCTATCTTTCACATGAAGATGCTCTCAATGAACAACTGAGATTTGCACACCAAACTCACAAGGGCATTCAGCCGTACATTAAAAACATATCTCATATTTGTATGTTATCTTTTCACAAAAAGATATTCCGTGATGGCACAAACTATGAAGATAATGGATCTCTTGTTTGGAGAATAACCCCAGTAAATGATAATGGAGTCCCTTATAGGCCTGATACAGGTTTGTTTAGCAATGCCAAATTTTAAAATGTAAAACCTTCTTTGCCCCTCCATTAACTAAATTGATTACGGAAAATTTTCAGATATTTCAAAACAACAAAATGAACATGATAAAATGCGCTCTTTCTCATCTCCTAAAATTTATGATGAGAAAGAGAAAAAATATAAATGAAGGGTTAAATAAAGATATATATATATATATATATATTAAGGGAAAAAAAAGAAAGATATATATATATATACTAAGGGAAAAAAAAAAAAAAAGAAAAAATGCTCTCACAAAAATATAATTTAGGGATTTAAATTTAGAACGGTTTCACAAATACATAACAATCAAATAAAAATTTATTAAGTGAGATTTTTTTGAAATTGAAATAAGAAAAAAAAAAAAAAAAACATAAGTGTTGGAATATGAAAGTTGGGGAGTTTTTGTTGTAAATGGAAAGTACGGGGCTAATCGCCACTATCCAAAGTACATGTTATAAATTTGTTTAGAATTTATCGGATGTCTCCGGGAAGGCCTTCGGAAATGATAAATTGAGGTTAGTCTCGGATACAGACGTGACGAAGGTGTCATAGCCACCTGAAACTAACTTGACAGGCCGTTCGTTAGACTTAGCCAGAACTCCCGCAAGTTCTCCGACATATCTAAACCGTCAGAACGATGTGTAAAAAATCCAGAAAGGAAAACAAAAGAATTGGGATTGATTGTGCTTAGCCTTGTACCGTGTTCACAGCCTTTTGATGCCGTGCAATGGGAACATCTACCCATAAATGAAAAAATTATAACTAACTATTAACTGAAGAGATGTTTCAATTTTCAAATGCAGGGCTGGCTGGAAGTGTCGTGAGAACAGTGTGAGAATAAATTTTGTGAGGACTGAGTGCGGTCTCCAAACAAAACAAAAGTTACAAAACCAACACCGGTGGTGTTTGTTTCTTTAAGACGAAATAGACCTTAACGGGCCAGCACACATCAATTTTGTCCCATGCACATGCATGCATGTACATCACATACATCTTATTAAGCAAATTAATAAATAAAATATAATATTTGTTAAACAAAAAATATAAAAATGGTTGCAATGGAACATGCAGCGAAAGTTTTTTTTTTTTTTTTTATCTCTTCATTTTATTTTACATGAACAGGAACCTCAAAAACAGAGGTTACAAAGGTAACTAAGTGCTCTTAAAAAAAAAACACGGAATATTTACAAAAAGAAACCTAAGTAAAACAGTAAAAGAAGAAAATGGTTACCGTGATGACCATCATCATCATCATCGTCATGATGCTCAACCCATCATACGGGAAGAACATCAACTCAGAGAAAACCACGTGACGAGGTCTGCAGCGACGCGCCTCTCGGTGGCGGCGACTCGCTCTTCCGACACCAACGGCGACCGACAAAGCGGGCAATTCCAGTTGAGGTGATCAAACCAGCCATCCAAGCAATCCTTATGGAAAACATGGCGGCACTCTAACCTGCGCACCTGATCGCCATCAGTTAACCTACACAAACACACAACACAGTCGGACTCAATCCCGTCGCCATCGTCGGCACTGCAATAGGAAGAGACACGGCTCACGTCAAGCTGGTCGGCCAAGACGATAAGCCCGGCCAAACCTGAGCCGACGGCACCCAATAGGCCATCCCCGACCTCATCCACATGCAAGAATCGGGAGAAACCCATCGATTTGAGGAGCCCAAAAAGCAAGGAACGAAGGTAGTTTACGCAGTTGGCGACGATTGCCACCATAAGTATCGGGATCGAATCCGACGACACGTCGCTGAGCTGCCCATATAAACCCATCTCTCCCCTGCACTCCACTTTTGATTAAAAAGAGAAAAATCTAGAGAGCGAGAGAGAGGGAAGGTGATGAGATGAGGGTCTGAGCAGAGAGGGATGGAGGAAAGTGGGTTGTTTTAAAGTGGGAGAGGAGTGAGAGAGGGAGATGGGCGAATCGGTGGAGAGGACAGAGGTTCGAGTCACCAGGGTGCGTCGCTGTCGAAGCTTACGTTACGTGGGTCGTGGGGAGAGGCAGGAGAGACAGAAGGCCACGTTTTTGTCTTGCCACTTTTGTATTCGCGATTGATATTTGATGAGATGATTTTTGGGGTTATCGACTTTTTCGTCCTTCTCCTTCCAGAAGTTGTGTTGTGTGTAGACCTGGCAAATGGGTTGGTGGGTCGGGTTCGGGTTGGGTCAAGACTTCGAGTCGAGTTGAATTTCGAGTTGGGTTATCACATGCTAGATTCTAACTCTAAATGTTCGTGTTAGGGTTGACCCATTGATTAATTTGGATAATCCTAAAAAATAACTGAAATTTAAAAAATAAAGAAAAATTACATTAAAATGTCAAAATTAAAGGAATTAATCTTAAAATAACACTGCATAAATAATCCCAATTAAACTTAATAATCGGATCAGCGGGTTGATCTATGACCCAACCCAACCCAATCCAGTTTTTTTCCGGATTGGGTCGGGTTAGGTCATTCTCACATTCAAATAGTTAAATATGAGACCTTAACCCTATTTTTTCGGATTGAATTGAATCTGGTTCACGAACTGGGTCAACTTTTTGCTAGGTCTAATTATGTGTGGTTGATACTTATAGGAGAGAAAGACTGAGTGTAATGGTGCGAAGCAAAGAGTTGGGTACTTGGGGGTTGTTACTAGATGTCAAATTCAATGGGTCGGGTTAAGTGATAAATCCGCACTGACCCGACCTATTGGGTTAGGTTCGGGTTTGGATGAGGTGAACCCGTGCTAAACCCATCCTGTTGCGTTGCAGGATTGAAATATCTGTAAATATACCCTTAGTATCCATGTAAGCATTAAGAAATTGCATTGAAAACCAAGTGGATATTTGGTATACGGTGTTGTGTGTCTAATGTGAATATGTGATTTTATTTCAATGACATTAGCATCGTTTGGATCTTCTAAGCAGAAGAATCCTACCACACCTAACCAAAGTTGTACTAGAACATATCCCGTATTCAAAAGAAAATGTTAGCAAAATTGGGTATGTTAGGGAAATTGGGTAGATTAGCCAGTTTAGGGTAAATTTTTAAAACTACTCATCTATTAATATTTCGTTAAAATCCGTACATGTCACATCATGTGACGTTTAAAATTTTTTAAAACCTAATTTTACCCTTGTCCCCTTTCTCTCAATCGGCAAACCCTTCCTCTTCCGACCTCTCTCTCTTCCCTCTATCTTCCTCCTATATAGTCTCCGTCAACACCAGATCACCGGAGAGAATTGTATTGTACCCGCATCATATGCACAGGACAAAGCCATAGTCTCAGACATTAAACATTGGCTTTGTCCTGTGTATTGAGATACCACATGCTTGCAATCACTTTGTACATGGGATGAGAAAGATGAATCACCAATGTATTACACCTGACAAAATTTGGGAAGCTCATCTAAAACTGAAGGATGAATACAAGAAGGGTAAAAGAAAATTCCAAGATATGGTATATTCCTTCAAGCTAATGCATCCTTATTTTTATGAACCATCTCTGAAATCATTCTTTGAACTTCACTTGCAATGTGTTGTCGAGAGGGTTCAAGCACACAAAGAGCACTTCACCTTCTTTCTTCCTCAATAGTGGGGGTGTTCTATTGAAGAAGCAGAGAATGAGTGAGGTGGCGGTGGTGGTAATCCCTTTGAAGTCTGACCTTTCTTTCTCTCTTCTTCATCTGGGCAACAATAGCGGGAACCCCTCTGAAATTTGATCTTTCTTTCTCTCTCTTCTTCCTCTGAGCAACGGAGGCGGCAACCCCTCTGAAGTCTGATCTCTCTTTCTCTCCCTCTCTTCTTCCTTTGGGCGACAGCGGCGATAACCCCCCTTTGAAGTCCAATCTTTCTCTTTCTCTTCTTCCTCTAAGCGACGGCGGCAGTAAACCCTCTGAAGTCCGATCTCTCTCTCTCTCTCTCTCTCTCCTTCCTTTGGGCAACGACGGCAGAAACCCCTCTGAAGTCTGACCTTTCTTTCTCTATCTCTCTCTTCTTCCTATGGGTGACGGCGACAACATTCACCTCTGAACTCATCTCTCTTCTTCCTCTGGTGACGGTAGCAGCACTGCCTTGTAATTCCACCCAGCGGTAGGAGTTACAAGGTTGTCTTAGAGCTCTGTATTTTTTAAGCCACAAGGAAGTTTAGACATTTTGCACGAGTTTTAGCGGAAGTTAACAGTAGAAATAGAGTTAGTCAATTGTGAGAAGTAGTAGAAATAGCCTCAGTCAATTTTCAAACAATAAGGGTATATTTATTCAATTAGCTAAATCATAAGGATAATTTAAGAAATTTATCCTAAAGTTAAATGGCGCTAGTTTTAGAAATACTATATTCTTTTTTTTTTGATAATTGGTAGAATAGAAATACAATATTCATGTTACATTAAGAAGATATTTACTTTCAGATATAAAATCATTGATACATACATATATATATATATGTATGGATGAGTAGATATATGCATAAATACATACATAGTTGTATAATATTTCTACACAAATATGAACAAATGCCGAGTTTGAATTGGGTCAGGTTGTTCAAATCCCTAACTGTTCGTATGTTTCAACCTCAACTCTAACTCAGGCTGCAGCTCTAATCGAAATCATCCAAGAGCCTAGTACCCAAACACCCTGTTTGCTGACTGGCTCACTAGGTAGCTGGTTTGACTGCTCGGTTTCTTGATGATTTGAAAATGCTGATCACTGTTATTTTTAATATATTGGTGAATATTTCTTGAAATTAATTAAAATATAAAATAATACTATTTTGACCCCAATCATGCTTTCATTTAGTATATCAGAGTTTTGAAAATTTTCTAGGAAAATTTTGAAGTTTTTTTAACCTTTTCCCTACTCAACAGTATAGTACTCACCATGACAATGGGGAAGATATTTCTAATGTTATAAAACTATTCATTTTAATATTTTATTTATAATAAATAGTATAGACAAGTGTTGGAGACTACAATTGGAAAATTAATTGTATTATTTTGATTATAATTCAAATGCAAATATATTCATCAATCATGAAAAATGCAAACTTGATTTGGTTGTGCATTGACGAATTATGTCTTCTTATTAAACATAATTGTGATAGGTAAAAACACAAATTTTAAGACTGAAATGTACTTTTTTTTTACATTGTCCTACATTGAGTGTAAGAGTTTGCTTTCATTTTGAATACAAATTAGAAAAGAAAATTTACTTTCATTTTCAGTAATAAAACATATTCTTACTAGATGCCTGAAAAACTAGAGGAAAATGCAAATTTAATTTGATTCAGCATTTGCGCTCTCACCAAATGTAAAATCATTAGAGGCATACCAATTAGTTCATTTCTCAAATAGCTTTTGATATTATATGGTTTTCTCTTCTCAAATGAGAGAGAGAAGGGGAAGGGTTTCATGTCCAAAGACAAAATGCTGAAGTACTTACACCCCTATGAGAGTAGGAGTGAATTTAGGATCAAAAGCCAAAAAGTAAAAATTGCTTCGAATTAATAAATAATTAAGTAGCCCAACTTATTAAAATTGCTTTTGATTGATAGATTATGATTTACTACTTATCATCTTTTAATAATTAATATGTTATTAGTTTATTATCGCTTTAAGTATATTATATTATATTATATTATTATTGTTATTATTATTTAATAGTTAGTATCTTTGTTTTTATTATTAATTTATTAATACTTTATTTTAATTCTATTTTTTTACTATTTTATTATTTTATTAATATTAAGGTTTGGAGTTTTTTTATCAAGAATTCTTTACTTCTTGAAAGACTCTAAGGCTTGGTTTGGAAGGAATACAAATATAGTTACGTACTGTACAAATACATACAAAATATAAGATTTTATACTTTACAAACTCAGTTAAGAAGGAGTGAAAATACAAATATGTATAATACAAATATATACAAATAGTATAAAGTGTAAGATTTTACATTCTACATACATATTTGTATTTATACTCCTTCCAAACTGAGTCTAAAATGGGAATCCCATTCACCGTGAATGAAAATCAGAACCCCATTCCGACTAAATAAACAATTAGAAATCGAAAATCAGAATGGACCATTCCAATTTTGATTCCAAATACCTATTTTAGAGAACGAAACGGACCCTCAATGATCAAAATAAATGGCAATAATTGAGAGATGATTTACTTTGGCTCTTGACCAACTCTTGGCCACATACATGTTCAGGGCTTAATCCAAGTCAAACACATAGTCTATTCCATGCTGGCTGGGTCTGTTTATTGCTTAAAGCTTGAAACGCGGAAAGCGATTGAGGCTCCATCTAAGCTTTGCATTGCTCATCTACCAAACACGCCACCAATTTCAACTGTAGCAATTAGTTGGAACCCATTAATCTAGAGCTAGATTCTAGACAGCCCATGCAGGAAAAGAACTGCACTTATCCTTGTGGAGCAATTTTCAGACATCTGGGTGGCGAAATAATGCCCTCTTGTTTAATCTTTGATCAACACTGAAACTTTAGTTGGCATTCTTGTTTAGCAGAAGAATCCAAAACGAAGTGGGCTGAGTTGAGTCATGTAAACTAAGAACGAGAAACTACTTATTAAGTAGTGAAAACCATTAAACCACCCAGGAAATAGGACGGTGGTCGGTGGATGATGTTGTGAACACGTAGCCAACCTATAAGGGTTCCCCACATGAGATGGATGGTGCAGATTATTGGCTAAATGAGAACGTTCAGGTGATCCGCTCAAAAGACATCCATAACATGCATTTAAATTAAATAATAGTAAAACGTAGAAAAGATATTTTTATTTTGCACGTCATCATCCTCGGTAATCCATGTCACAATCAACAACAAATTCTAATTAGAAGTTTCTGGCGAGATAAGAATTAGATTGACTGATATGTTTATTTTACTATGGTGTTTACGTTGCAGAAGGCAGTGGCGGTGAAAACGACCGAAGAGGCAAATAATAATTCAATAAATG